AGACATATTTACTAATTAATGAATAACACAAAACACCAGTACTGCACACATTAGTATCACAAATGCAGTCATATTACAATGAGAGTCACAGTGTTAGTGAGATACAGGAGGACGATGGGAGGTGGGTGGTATATGGTACAGTGAACATCATGCCATCTCCTCAGGCTAAAGCAAACCATCACTGCAATTATGATTTAGGTGGTGATAATAGAGGTAATGGTGGTGATAATAGAGGAGTGGTGGTGATAATAGAGGGAGTGGTGATAATAGAGGGAGTGGTGGTGATAATAGAGGGAGTGGTGGTGATAATAGAGGGAGTGTGTTGATAATAGAGGTAGTGGTGGTGATAATAGAGGTAGTGGTGGTGATAAGAGGGGAGTGGTGATAATAGAGGAGTGGTGGTGATAATAGAGGAGTGGTGGTGATAATAGAGGAGTGGTGGTGATAATAGAGGAGTGGTGGTATAAGAGGGGAGTGGTGATAATAGAGGGAGTGGTGGTGGGGGATAATAGAGGGAGTGGTGGGTGATAATAGAGGGAGTGGTGATGATAATAGAGGGAGTGGTGGTGATACAGAGGAGTGGTGGTGATAATAGAGGGAGTGGTGGTGATAATAGAGGGAGTGGTGGTGATAATAGAGGGAGTGGTGGTGATAATAGAGGAGGGTGGTGGATAGAGGGAGTGGTGGTGATAATAGAGGGAGTGGTGGGTGATAATAGAGGGAGTGGTGGTGATAATAGAGGAGTGGTGGTGATATAGAGGAGTGGTGGTGATAATAGAGGGAGTGGTGGTGATAATAGAGGAGTGGTGGTGATAATAGAGGGAGTGGTGGTGATAATAGGAGGAGTGGTGGTGATAATAGAGGGAGTGGTGGTGATAATAGAGGAGTGGTGGTGATAATAGAGGGAGTGGTGGTGATAATAGAGGAGTGGTGGTGATAATAGAGGAGTGGTGGTGATAATAGAGGGAGTGGTGGGTGATAATAGAGGGAGGTGGTGATAATAGAGGGAGTGGTAGGATAATAGAGGGAGTGGTGGTGATAATAGAGGAGTGGTGGTGATAATAGAGGGAGTGGTGGTGATGATAGAGGGAGTGGTGGATGAATAGAGGGAGGGGGGTGATAATAGGAGGGAGTGGTGGTGATAATAGAGGGAGTGGTGGTGATATAGAGGTAATGGTGGTGATAATAGAGGGAGTGGTGGTGATAAGAGGGAGTGGTGGTGATAATAGAGGGAGTGGTGGTGATAATAGAGGGAGTGGTGGTGATAATAGAGGGAGTGGTGGTGATAATAGAGGTAGTGGTGGTGATAATAGAGGAGTGGTGGTGATAGAGGTAGTGGTGGGATAATAGAGGGAGTGGTGGTGATAATAGAGGGAGTGGTGGTGATAATAGAGGTAATGGTGGTGGGATAATAGGGAGGGAGGGATAATAGAGGTGGTGATAATAGAGGTAGTGGTGGTGATAATAGAGGGAGTGGTGGTGATAATAGAGGAGTGTGATAATAGAGGGAGGATAATAGAGGTAGTGGTGGTGATAATAGAGGTAATGGTGGTGATAATAGAGGGAGTGGTGGTGATAATAGAGGAGCGGTGGTGACTCGGAGCTGGTGGTGGGGGAGATTGTGGTAAGTGGTGAGATGATGTGTCAATCTGTTTGTTTGGTAACACTGGCTGCTGCCACAACTGAACAGCTGATGTCTCCCCACAAAATTGAGTGCAAGTATAAATGAACGTCATATTCCTTCAATATTACATTACATATATTCTAGATTATGGAGTGAGAAACAGAAAGGTGGGGTGATTAGAGAGGTGGTAACAGTGGGTGTGTTGCCAAGTGCATGCTTATCCTTGTAGGAACATCAGAACATTAAGCCAGAGAATACACACGCTCGTCGCTTGGCTGGTTCAGCAACCTTAACACACTTGTTCACTGGTGCCATGGTGAAGGGTAAGTAAAGTACAAAACTTGACAAAAAAAAACAAGCACGGAGCAGTAAACCGCCTTCTAACACCAACCAAAACAGAGGAGAAACAAAAGCTGGCGCCACGAGCAGGCTGCCATTCTCTTGGCAGTCACTGCTACTCAAGCTCTACAGACCCGCCGTTGTCCCATGATTCTTCCGCTGACAACCCAGATCAATCAGTGATAAGCGATACATGGTCGCACTTGAGGAAACTATAGTAAGCCAGATCAGCGACATCGGGTCCCGTGACACACACACACACACACACACACACACTTCCTCCACCACTCACTGTCTTGTCAGCTTTCTCGACTACATATACCGCCATCTGGAGAAACGAAAAACGTCTGTAGCTGTCGCCTTCATTGACTTCACTAAGGCATTCGACCTAGCTGACCACAAACCACAATTTAATCATCAACAAAGCTATCGACGTCATTTCAGCAAAAATATTACATTTCGCGGAATGCATTATATCAAGCACAGTATGAATAGAATACCATTGTAATATAACAGTATTTTAATCAAAAACTATTAAAAAAAACAGTAACTTCTCTTGAATATCGGAAGGTTAGGTAAAATCTTTTTGTTTCGCCATGTATTTTATCTATTTTACATTAAAATACATCACGTTTCAGCAAAACTACTATTTTCCGAAAATATATTCATTCAAGCACAGTTTAGGTAAAATATACGTGTGATGTAACAGTTTTTTAACTGAAAACGATTCGAAAAACATGTACCCTCTAGCCCTGTTCAAGGAGAGGACTGGGAGAAGCTGTTTGGTGCTGCAGACGATGACAAGGAAAGTGATTTGGATGGATTTTAATGAAAATATTCAGAAATATGGTATCATAGTATTTATTCAAGTCAATTAGGATAGAATATTATTGTAATACAACAGTTTTTAACTGAAACCATTCGAAATGCATTACGGTAACATCTTTTGAAAGCTAAAGAAAAAGAAAGTCATTGTTTTCGCCACGATTTTATCCCACTTTCCACTGTATTACGACGCCATTTAAGCAAAAATATTACATTTCCATGAATGCATTATATCAAGCACAGTATGAATAGAATACCATTGTAATATAACAATATTTAACCAAAACTATTAAAAAAAACAGTAACTTCTCTTGAATATCGGAAGGTTAGGTAAAATCTTTTGTTAGCCATGTATTTTATCCTATTTTACATTAAAGTACATCACGGCTTTTCAGCAAAACTACTATTTATTTCCGAGAATATATTCATTCAGGCACAGTTAAGGTAAAAATATACATGTGATGTAGCAGTTTTTTAACTGAAAACGATTCGAAAAACACGGGTACCGCTCTAGCTGATACTCAACAGCTGGTGGTGCGTCATGCCGTTGTAAACAATAGGAGGTTGAAGTAGATTAACGGTATTATTTAAGTGTGAAATATCAAAAGGTTTTTATTACCGGTATTTTTGTAGATCAACGAGAACTGTGATACCGTAGATATGATATGATAAGTTAGCCTGTGCTAAGAACTTCAACATAGACTATTGAAAGCACGCTAAGGTAATTTAGCCTATTGTAAGTTGGTGAGCTTCATTTGCTGAAGTAACTGCACAACTTTTCATTACTAATTGGTACATATTTTACGTTTCCATTGTTTACTGGCAGTAAATGGTAAATATTTTTCATGTCTGAAGCTAAAAGTTGCATCCCCCACACTAATGGTGATGTTAAATTTAACCAAAAGACGCTGGTGTTTTATCCCAGCAGTGGGTGGACCAGCATTTTAGCTTAAGGTCCGCTGAGGTAATATTCCTACAAATCTAAAAAAAAAAAAAAAAAAGTTCTTTCAGATTTTGTCAGAATTATCCGAATCCAGATTAAAGGGGCCCGAATTAACGAGGGTCGACTGTATATATATCATACAGTCAACCCTCACTTTACGCGGTCCCACATTCCGCGTTTCCACGTTTACGCGGTGCCCTGCCAGAACCCAGGATGCTCACATTCCGCGGTGGGTGTACCCCTTTACACGGGTGAAGTATAATTTTTTTATTTAGCTCATAAAATTCAGACAAATTATCCGGCCAGAATATAATTTACATTGCTGGAATTCTTACAATTTGATGATCATTTTGAATATAAACATCATATATTTTGCATTAGACATACAAATTTTAGATATAATGTTTACTCTTGAGTAAATATGTTATCTTTTGTGCAAAATATATGACGCTTATATTCAAAATATTCCTGGTCTTACAAGGAATCCAGCAATGTCAATTATATTATCCTAACTTTAGTTTGAGGTATTATTTATTACTATACCTTAAAATCTAGTGGTTTTCCCCCAAAAATTTCTCGAGAGAGGGAAGAGCCAGCGAGTGTAGTGTGAGAAGAGGGGGAGGGAGTCAAGTCCATTATTTGAATGGACATTAACTTGGCGACTGTATTTCTCTATTTCTCTTAAGTATTAATTATGTGCATGTACCATCATAAAATTAAGAGGTTATTTTTACTAGAACATAGGTATTGTGTCGGAAAAAGTGGAGTTTGGGGGGTCAGCCGGTCTCTATTTCATTTAATCCCTATGTAATGTTGCTCATTTTACGCGTTTCTCGCTTTACGCGGGGGTTCAATTGACCGCGTAAAGTGAGGGTTCACTGTATATATATGTATATAATTTTAATTTGTTTGAATTTGTGTAGGTTAAAGTTCTCATACAAATTACATTTAATGGTATGAAATAAATTATGGAGAGACTCAGCTGAAGAATGAGACATATAGACAAAAACGAGTGGTGGTTATATTTTATCCCCTAAGGAAGAAAGTGCTGGCGAAAGCAGGGCGAGTTTGAGTGAACGCTAATAACTGTGCAGAAACCGAAATGTTTTCAGGTTTACTTTTTTCTTTCTTTTCTTTGCATGGGCCACCTTACATGAGGCAGGAGGACCGTATCAAGCTAAAATGAAGAGCTTGCTTTATTTTATAACAATTTAATGTCTAATGAGACATCTACAATACATTACTTCGAAATCCTTATTTTACACTTACTGACATATAACTTCTCGTTCCCACAAATGTGTTAGCCATACTATCGATCAGCTGGCCAGACACTCCAAAGTCACAAATTTTGATCTCTCCGCGGGAGTTGACCAGAATGTTAGAGGGTTTTACATCCCGGTGAATGATCTGGTGCTTCTCACGGAGATATGCCAAACCTTTCAAGACCTGTAGATGATAAAACCTTGTTAATGTCATAATTACCAATTTATGTCATTCATCTAAATGCATCAAATTATGCAACTTTCAATATTCACAGTATGTATACAGTAGTGGCTAACAGAAGAACTTTGAAGCACTAATCATGTTACCTCACCATACATGCTAATTTACTAACATTCCATTACCATCAGGCCTATGGCCTCACTCTATTTGTAAATGTCACTCATATATACTCTCTTCCTTCTCATCTTAACCCATTCTATAACACTCCTTAAATGCTGTCCATCTCATACCATATACTGTACAGTATTAAACCAAAGTGAAGTTTGATGAGGAGGTGTTATTCAGTTTTTTATATACAGTAATACAGTACAGTATTCCCTTAAAGCACGCAGGGGTTAGGTAAAATGGACCCCTCGAGAAAGCAAATTCCTCAAGATTTTCATGCCAGTTCATGGAGTGTGCCTCTCTGTGGATTGCACTATGGGTTGCGTGGGAGCTTGCATACAGCGTTTGACACCTTCCACTACTGGCTGCGAGGGGTCTCAATGGCCTTTACCCCACCCCGCCTTAGGGAGAGAGGGAGGGAGGGAGGGAGAGGGTAATGCATGGTGCCATAGTTCCCTATAATTAAACTATAAAAGTTGTGGAAAATTTTTTTCAATACTCTAATGTGACTTAGAAATAAAGAAAATATAATATAATACTATAAAATATGAAATAAGAGGAGCATGGGTGTGTATTCTGTGTAGGAAGTGATCTTCAGTGTGGAAGCAGTGAGAAGTTTGTCAATAGCACATCTAGCAACAGTTGGTTAGGCTTATTTCAGTTTAAATGCCACCATACTGAGTGAATATCTGAACACTCACTATTCATCCTGGATCTTGCAATGATGATGATGGGCATTAGTACAGATCCCATACAGTAAAATGAATGATATGATGATTGGCAGAAGACGATATAATAAACAAACATGAAATAACAAATACTCTGTACTGTTCTAAGGTGTTGAGTCCTCTTGATCCCTGGCAACTCTCCCCTTGCCATAGGTAAGGTGATGATTATGAAGTTGGAGATGATGATGGTGATGATGATGATGATGAGGGTCGGGAGGAGAGAACTTTGGGGTCATCCTCATCTTCAGAGGGCAAGTTGAGAGTGGAGGGCATTGCCATGATTCAAAGGCAGTGGCAGGAGTAACTGGAGTGGCAGGAGTAGTTGGAGTAACTGGAGTGGCATGGGTAGTTGGAGTAACAGAAGATGCAGGGGTGGCTGGAGAGGCAGAAGATTGAGTTGAAGCTAGTGTTTTGGGAACTCTGGAGAAGAAAAGCATGATAGGGAGTTGAGATCTCTGGCACTTGATATTTTTGTAGATTTCATTGAGTGATGCTACTAAATTTATCTTCAGTGCTCGGTCTAATGATGAGTCTAATTCCAGAAGTGCTTCTTTTCCTTGCCCGAAAAAAAATAAAATAAAAATAAATAAATAAATAAAAATAATGTCCAGATGGTTTCCTCTAAATGAACTGGAATAAGATCTCTTTCCTGATCATCTTGCTCATTTTTTTTCGTAAAGAATCCAGTCCTTCATTTGTTAACTCTTCTCCGATTTCTTCAGGTGGCATATCACCAAATAACCTTCCCACTTGCACCATGCATGTGATCAGGGGCTCCTTGAGTGGAAGCCAGTGATATCACATTCACTGCTTCAGACCATAGGGCCTACCAACAGAAGTTTACACACTTCCAGTGCCGCATGAATCTTGGAAAAACGGCAACTGAGGTAATATGACTTGAAAACAGTAAATTATTCCTTGGTCAAGAGGCAGAATAAGATTTTTTTTTTTCAGTGCGTGAGTTCCGAGGGACACAAGCTTTAAAACTGCAAGCTTTAATGGAATACTGTACCGTCATTTCATCATGCTCTTAAAATAAATTTCAAATGATACCACACTGTCTTTCAATGTTAGTGAAGAGGATGATACCCGATACATTAAACTCCAGTCTAATAAAATTTATGCAGAAGTACTGAACTGTGAAACTATTAATCCACTAGTGAGTTGATCTATGTAGAGTTATACTGCACTGTACATTAATTCTGCAATAAAAAACCCATAATTCATACCACTCAAATTCGAAATCACTCATAATTCGTAATGTTTTGCGGTTATGAAATGAGGCCACCGCCGTAATAAGGGCACAAGCGCCACTACGACCAAAATCGAGTTACCACCACAGCAAGTTTCAACAAGGTTTTCTCTATCACAAAGTGTGTCATATGTGGATAACCCAGCACCTGTTGTGAGTGAAAGTGAGGAGAGTTAACCAGAGGCTGGGCCGTAAACATCCGTGTAGGCCTCACACGTGGAAGAGTAATGTTGCAAAAAGGCTTCGGAATGAAGGCAAGGCATACACCAGTCTTATGACCAAAAAATTACTACCAGAAAGGCAGGTAGGGTCCCCATGTGCCGATGGACGTTTTGCGAAAGTCGCCTTTTTCTCTTATTTAAAAAATAAATCACTTGTGCCCTTGTGTGTCCATACTACTGCAGTGGCCTCAAATATACTGTATACAGTATCACAAATTCTGTAATATTTGGTAAAATTTCTAAATAATATATAATACAGGGTACAGTATATTAAAAAAAAATTTATTACTGTATTTGGTAAAATTTCAAATTAGCATCATTTATGAATATACATAACGTACATGTCGCAATGGGATGTTGCCAACTCAGTGTCAAGTACTATAGGCGTCATATTTTTCGGTCAGTCCACGTTGTTCAGTCATGGAGTACACATCTATGGCTTACAGCACAAGCTTTTCCACTTGCCGTGTTTGAGCCATTATGTCTAATAACCCTGGACCAAGCACCTCAAAAGGTACTGTAATTTGAAGCATTTAAATTTTTATTTAGGCAGATAGCAGAAAAGTACACCCCCCCTGGGGAGGTGTCCCTCCTATTTTGTAAACTCTCATAATTCATAAGGGGAAAAGCCCCTATTATTTTGAATTATGGGAGTTTTACTGTACATTATTATTTTCTCAGTCTTGCAAGTCACTTAATTTCTACAGTATATAAAGATTCATCAGTACAAAAGTGTCCCAAACTACTGTATATAGGTAGTCCAGTGCCAAAATGGGATAAGCGCTGTCATTAATAAACATAGAAAATCGCTTCTAAAGTTGTGCTATAAGTAAATTGATGTCACGACATATTAACATTTGAACATATTGGTATCATTGTTTTATAGAAAATTGTGGACATTTTCTTGGCAAAATATAATAAAGACACCATTCACTCCTCAAAAACTACAGTACAGTGCTGTATCACTACTGTAATAAAGTAGCACTGTACCAATAACACAGATACCCTGAAAATTATATCAATAATAACAGATAGATTAAATATTAAATAATAAGCTTTTTAATAGTGATAGTTATAATGCTTGTCAGCTGCACTCCTTTAGTGAGTACTACTGTACTAAGGAAAACCTGTACAGTACAGTACAGTACAGTACAGTACTCACCAAATTACTGGCGAGTATACCACTACTGAGCTCAGCGTCATCAACATCATCCTATAACAATACCTTACTGATATGTTGTTTTTAAGGCTGTGAGCACCAAGACCGGTTTGAGTTACTGTAGTAAGTTTGCACGAACATAATGTTTTCAAAGGATTGTTAACCATGTTTGTAATGTTTGAAAGAGATACCCACCATTTGTATCTGATAAGGTGAAGAATGGAATACACATTTCACAAAGAAATCGTGTTTGGCTGGTCTCGGCGCTTATCCCATTCTAGTGCTGCACTACTTCATATCGAAGTTAACTTATTGTAAGGGAGGAAGTGATTCTTGATGACGTAAAAAGGGTACCCCCCTACAAACATGACTTCCTCTGAGTTGATAGTGGTTCAAAGGATCTTACAAGCTTTTCTGATGGATAACTTAGGGACCTACAGTACTCAGGTGGTAGTTGAATGTGATACTGATATTTGCTTAATCCTGATTCTGCTAACATACTTGGGTGGACAGAAAAATGCATGGATGGATAGGTATGAGTTATTAGGCCTGCCTTGAAAATGCAAAGCAAGGTGTAATAAACAGATGAATAAATTTAAACTTACCGTCGAACATATTTTTGCTAAGATTGTCTCAGGAATGCGGATGGCTTTCTTTAGGCATAAATCAAGGGATCCGCCATCCATGTACTCCATACAAATAGAAATTTCACCTTCACTGTAAGAGAGGGTATATTTTATTTTAATTTTCAATAAATATATTTAAGCAAAAAATTCACTACAGGAAGTCTCCATTTTACAAAAGGCTCCGTTCATGAAAAACCTTTTGTAAATTCGATCCCATTTTCTTACACTGTACACTCCCTTTATAAAAGCTGATACTGTACCTGTACATGTTCCTTAAAAAATAACAAATCTTAAAATGCTACAAAACATGTTTTTAATGAAAAAAATTTGTGTACAATATTATTATAAGTAAAAATTAACAAGTAAAATGCTTGATAGAGCAGTAATTTTAAATTTCATTCTACTGTACAGTACACCTCATCAAGCTCTAAACTTCCACATATGAAGGAGAGTAATACTGGTGACTTAAATGCACTAAGAGAGTAAAGTTGCTATTCGCAGTTTTGCCAATTCGTGCCATTCCTTGGAACCTAACCCCTGCGAATAGCAAGGATTTACTGTATACAGTACAGTACCCTGTACTCCCTCTTTATCGACGGGGGTTACGTTCTGTAGACGGCCGTCGATAAAGAAACCGTCGATACCGTGATGGTTACGTAATTTTTCTAGCTATTATTAGCATATGTTGAATAAATGTACCTTTAAGCATTAATGCGTTTCCTTTACACATAACCTTAAATAATAGTGTATAAATAATAATATAATAAGTGGACAAAAATACTAGCAAACTTACGATTTCATTTATTGAAGTGAACATCGGTCCTTACAGTAAACAATACAGTGTACAGTATATACAAGTCACGCCACTAGTGCCGCCTAGCGGCGAAAGTACAAACAAGGCCCGCAGAGTTCAAATAAAGCCAAAATAAAAATCCGTCTAAATAATCCGTCGATAATCGAAACCGTCGATAAAAAATCCGTCGATAAAGAGGGAGTACTGTACTACAAAAAAGCATCATTACTAAAGATTTTTATTCTGTAAATCAATACCCAGGAATCTGCCTTTTTCTAGCTCTGGATCTTTGTAAATTAGAGACTGCATGTATAAAACAAAATACTCTTTTGAAACTGCTTTTTGGAATGATAACTATTGTGCCAAACATTACTTCTTACAATACTGTACTAATATTTTTTTAATTGTGTTTGAAAAGGTAGAAGAGTGTCTCCCACTCCACTACGGTCAAATATTGGGTAGACACAGCTTGTGAATCCAAGACCATTAGCTTAGCAAAACTTTTTGGACACATCAGTTGTGCCCAAGACTGAGTATGTGAAGAGCATGCGAACATCACTGATGGCTTAAAAAAATCCATAAAAAACAAAGGAACTAACCTGTAAAATGCTCCATAGAATCCAACAATGAAAGGCGAGTTGCACTCATGAAGAACCTTCAATTCACGAATTATTTGGTTTCTCACTGCTGGCTTCACCTCTAAATGTATAAGCTGGAAGAATAAAATAACTAGAGATTTAAGACAACTTTGGGATCTAGTTCCTTTGTGCAAGAATTTTTGTTCTAATTGGTGACAAGTCAACTAAACTCCAACCTAACCAAACCACTACAAATGAAACCTATTCCTAATTGGCCCCATACCCTAGTTAGGTTAGATTAGTGCCTGTTAGACCCATGTGACCTTCAACCTTCGGATTTACATAACTTAAAAAAACTCCCACGTCTCAAATTGATAATTAACAAAAGGGGAATATTTTTAGTTAAACCTCAGCTAGTTTGTTACAAGGCTTTTTTTTAAAGACCTACAAACTCATACTTCTACTTAACTCCCTCTTTCAATGTTCAATTATTATGATAAATCAATGAAAGGAAAAGAAAGACATATGCAACTGGCATGAGCCTGTGATGAGTAACACCCAAGACAAGCCACAGGTCATCCTAGGTCCAAGAACAAAACGACAACTGCTAAGGCCGTAATAACCATTAGCTGTTGACAACCAGCAAATTCAACTGGAGAAAATGTTAAATTATTTAAAGGATAAGATTCTATGGTAAATACAAAAAATAAATGAAAACAAAATAAGATCTTCAATCCCTAAAAAATTTCAATTAACCTCCAATGAAAAGCATATTAGAAGAAAATTTAAGTGAGAACCTTATCCACAGATGAAGTTCTACAAATTACTGAAATGCTGTAGCATTCATCATGCTAAATGTTTTGATGCTTCCGAACTCACCTTGCGTGCCATGATTAGTCCTGATGGTTTGTGTCGCTCCTTGTTCACCACTCCTCCATTACCTGCTCCCAACTCACCAAGTTTTTCAAAGTCATCAGCATTTAATTCTCCAATCTGAAAAACAAAATGCAAAAAATAGAATGATCACTATGTTGCATCAACTATCCAAACTATGCCTCATTTCTTATTAAGCAACTTAAGCACAACAACCTATATACTGTACTGAGTATGTTTTTGTGAGTCGTAAACAGGTCTGTTTGCTCTAATTTACCACTGACTTATTGTACAAAGCTAATCATCCATCAGGGTTTTCCTGACCTTTTGTTTCTGGACGAGGAATATCTCCATGCGTCTGCGTTGGGTATCATCCATGTCGAGCTCCTGAATGCACTTGAGCAGTGACTCAAGTGACATGGTACCTAAACTGCCAGTTGCCCCTGTGCTGGCTTTTCTCTGAGGGGTTCTGAAGAATGAACAGAATAATGTGATTTGATACAAGCCCTATAAAAATTTACTTTACAAACAAGTATAGTCCAGTAGGCCAATACCTGTATCTCAGCATAATTCAGGTAGTAATTTGTTGCATAAGAAGGTTGAATACTGTACTGTATATGCAAATACTCCCCCTCTCCATTAAAACACACTGAGAAAAACACTAGTAAAGATGATTATCAGGAATCTGAAAATAATTTTTTTTGTAAACAAATTTGTCATAGTATTGTACTGTACTATATGTGTACTGTACTGCATTTTAAAAATCAAAATCCTTCATCAGTTGACCTAACCTGTGTCAGACAGCCAATGGCAAGGCATCATCTACAGTGAAGGAAGACACTACAAATCCTTGTGCGTTTTCTGGGCGCCATCCAATATCACCCATGCAGTACACCTGGTTAGAATCCACAATGCTTTCCGAGTGATCAAAGACTCAAAGAGTAATGTGGGAAGCACACCCACATTACTCTTTTGCCACTCAGAAAGCATTGTGGATTCTAACCAGGTGTACTGTCCTTAACATGTCTCAAAACCAATACAACAATGATGGTACAGTACATAATCAGCAAGTGAGCTCCACAACCAATATGGTGAAAAAAACCAGCATTTTTATAACTTAAAAGTTGAAATGTAACAAATAAGAGTAAAATTAAGCTAGCTGGGTACTTTGTGGACTGGCTGGCAGTGTGTGATACTGTAGATTTGTTTCTAGAGAGAGCAACTCACGGAACAACTACTGGGGGTGTACATATAATTACAGCACTTGGTAAATATTTAAGAGAAAAATACAAAAATTTTATTTCACAGTAGCTATTTAACTACAGTACACTTAAACAGCAATAGTCTTCATACAGTAAAGTACTGTACTGTATTGTGATTTACAGTAAACCGCTGACATCATAAATGTACATTTTCACGTTTCCTGCCTCTGAAGCTACAGCCACACTGCACTGTGAGAACAGGTAACTAAAGCAGATGCTCAACCATAAGACACCACTCACTCACACTGTTTCCCCATTACCAGTAATAAATAATAAAAAATTTGCTAGAAATGTGCTGATAAAACACAAATTTTAGGGTAAATATACTGTAGTACTGTACAGGGTATGGCTTATGGTAGGTTCTTGTCACTGTGGCTGCTCCTTGATGGTGCTCCTAAAACCAGATACTGTATGCTGTTTTTCTGTAGTTTTGTATAAAAGTTTTTGTTAGTTTGAGACCTTCAATTTTTTGGTGGACAGTGAAGCTGCCTCATAAATATAGTTAGCAGCATGCGACACTGAGAGTCTAGGAGAATGAGGAGATAATTTTATTTACAAATAAGGTGCCACACAGTACTACATTAGCATATTTTTTTTTTTTTTTTTTTTTTACATACAGTATTTGTTTCTGGAGTATGGTAGATACAAAAAATTCCCAAAATTATCTTTCTGAATGCCTCTTGGTCCCAAGCATATTGGATCCATGGTACCCAAGTGCAGATGCAAAGGCAGGACATGCAAATTTGTGGCTAGTCTCAATTTCAAGTGTATTCTCAGGGTGGCACTTCTGACACATTATGGGTCCCTTTATATGACACATCCACAGTCAACTGCCCAAAGCCAGATCACTCGACATGTGGCATGTCCTAAATGTATGGCACATCTGCTGTCAACTGCCAGGGGCAGACCATTCAATGTGTCAAGTCCACAATGAATGAATTAAATCAATAACATAGCAAAAAAAAAAATTAGTAATCGATTGGTCAGTTTATCAGCTACTTTTCATCCTGTGACCCCCAAAAATATGAGAATAAAGCATATATTCACTTTATGATTGATGAGCAAAACTAGTGACCTTCAAGATACTGTACCACTAAAAGGTGCCCCTTGGGAGAGCTTGTCCTTGCCCAAGGAGCGCTCTTTCTATCAATTCCAGTAATCAGCGAAAAAGCTCCTCATTATGATATTCCATTCTGTATTTTATTCACCAAAATGAGAAGTACAGTAGTGTACTGTATTCATAACAATTACAAAACAAAACTTTTACATGAAAGTCTTCAGAACCTCTGCAAAAGGTTGAGACTTCACTATTATAGTACTTGGGCGGGGCAGTAGTGCATTGTACTATCCCAACACCCTTAGTGGAGCAGAGTTGAACTATGAGTGTTCTTAGGTGCAGTATCACTAGCCCCCTCACCACTATGGGTAGCAAGCCAACCTCACTTTACTTGGTTATCATCAGGAGCTCACTTGGATTATATGCACACAAAAAATTTCATTTAAGTCTTGCATAATGAGAGGCAATGGTATGATTCAAAATGCCAAGTTGGCAAATGTAGCTAAATAAAGCTTACCTAAGTTTACAAACTTAACTTTATACAGTACTATGAGACAAACCAAAAACCATGGAATTCAATTGGTCCCCATTATTCTTCCAAGTTGCCAGTAGTACAGTACATTATGTCCTAAAAAATAGGGATGAATACCGAAATGGTTTAATGGAATAAGAGGGGGGTTATGTTTCTATTTGCTGCCATCATCACCCATACAGTGAATGAAAAAAAGAGTGAATTTTCTGTCATAAAAAATACTGTACAGTAATGTAATAAGGTGGGCTTATGTCCTTTGGTATGAATACAGGGATTATTACTGCGTGTTTCCTAATGTAAGGCTGGTGCACCTTTGCACTACAGTACAGTATGACTAAAACAAGCTACAGTAAAACCTCGATTAACCGACCACATATGGGGGAAGGGACCGACGGATAATCAAAAAGGTCGGTTAATAGTAAATAAAGTCTACGGAAATAAAACATTTTCAAACTACCTATCCCTAACCTACCTCATTTAATTCCCTCTATTCATTTTTGTTCATTTGCCATTCATATTTCAATAAAATTTGCTTTAAAACATAAACCACTTTAGTGAATAAATATGAACCAGCACAGAAACCATGAATAAAAATTGGAAAAGTCAAAGAACATATGGCATCATGAAAATTGTGACTAAGTCCCAGGTTGCTGATCTGACTTTCTGCCTCATTTACACACAATTGCAGGGTTTCAATTATTTTTCTTACTATTGACAACACAACATACATACAGGTACATTGTTTCTCACTCTTGATTTTTTTTTTCATTTTTGCATTTCTTTATGGTTCTTTATTACTATTATTATTATTATTATTATCATTATTAATATTATTACATTATAGCCCCCCCCCCCAGGCCCCGATGTGGGTCAGTGACCTGTGCCCGGGTGGGCTTATCCCCGTAAAAAAAATAAATAAATAAATAAATAATATACAGTACTCCCTCTTTATCGACGGGGGTTACGTTCTGTAGACGGCCGTCGATAAAGAAACCGTCGATACCGTGATGGTTACGTAATTTTTCTAACTATTATTAGCATATGTTGAATAAATGTACCTTTAAGCATTAATGCGTTTCCTTTACACATAACCTTAAATAATAGTGTATAAATAATAATATAATAAGTGGACAAAAATACTAGCAAACTTACGATTTCATTTATTGAAGTGAACATCGGTCCTTACAGTAAACAATACAGTGTACAGTATATACAAGTGTGATGATTGAGGCTTATTAAAAGCCTGACCAGTCAGATGCGTATGATGAGTCAAGGTCTGCATCTTCTTGAGGGGTGTGGGCAGGTACTGCGTCTTGTTGTTGTGAGGTGCCGGCAGCTTCTACGTCTTGTTGTTGTGAGGTGTCGGCAGCTTCTGCCTCCTGTTGCAGGATGCCGGCAGGTTCGGCGATGGCAGGCACTCGGCGACTGAAGAAGTTGGTGATGGTGGTCTGTGCTTTCTTGCTTCTCATTTCCCTCTGCAGTTCTATATATGGCAACATAACATTTTCAATAGCTCTCTTTGCTTTAAGGGACCTATCAAGGGAGGGATCAATGTCATAGAGACGAGCAGAGAGGGCCTTACTCATTCTTATTACTTCACCAAGATTATCTAAAGTTAAGTTCTTATTTTCATCATCACTCACTTCATCTTCTGTTTCATCCTGCAGCTCCACTAATTGTTCTAGTTCATCACTTGTAAATGGATCCCCAACATTTCCCAATAACTCTTCTTGCACCTCTGCCGCTGTTAAGTCAGAGAACCCTTCACCTCCAACTTCATTTGCCATAGTTATTATGTTGCGTAACTGAGGCTCGGCTGTTGGGAACCCTGTGAATGTTGGGACAATTTCAGGCCACAATTTTTTCCAACATGATCGGACACAGTTCTGCGACAGTTCATTGTGGCTTTCAGCGATGAAGTTTATGCACTGTGCAATATCAAATTTCTTCCACATTTCTCTGGGTGTCACATCAGCATCCTTATCAAGGCACTCACGAATCATGCTGAAAGTCTTCTCTGCATATTTAGCCTTAAACACGACAATGACTCCCTGGTCCATTGGCTGGATGATGGAGGTGGTGTTTTTTGGCAGGAAAACCACCTCAATGTTGGGGTGGGCAGTCTTGAGTTCTTCAGAGTGGCCAGGGCAATTATCTAGATATAATACCACTTTGAACTCCATGCCAAGTTCATCCAGATAATCTTTCACCTCTCTAGCAAAGCAGTTTTTCAGCCAATCCACGCACAAATCAGATGTCATCCACGCTTTCTTGTTGTTCCTGTAGAAAACTGGTAGCAAGTTCATGTTTTTATTTTTGAGAGCCCGAGGTCGTGCGGCAGTGTATAACAACATGGGCTTAATCATATGCCCTGCCGCATTCCCACATAGCATCACTGTCACTCGGTCCTTCGCAACTTTAAATCCAGGGGCACTTTTTTCCTCTTTAGAGATGTAGGTTCGGCGTGGCATCTTCTTCCACCATAGGCCTGACTCATCAGCATTAAAAACTTGTTCCGGCCTATAACCCTTTTGTTCTATGTGGTTAGCAAACTCTGCAGGGTATGCTTCCCCTGCCACAGTGTCTGCTGATGCTGCTTCGCCAGTCACTTTTATATT